ATCCAATAATTGTCAGTCTGTGATTTCTGATTATGTACAATAAAGTTTGATAAATCTAGTTATAATGAAAAACTACACAATTTAACGTACGATGAAAACCACGTATTCATCATAACTGATGTCACTTATTTGATCCTAAAACTGTTTTCCTGTTCTGTTGAAATTCAGCATATGCGAGAATATTTATACTTTTGGATAATGCTCTGCCAAAACGTATCTCAGTTCGTAAGTCTGTTACACCAAGATCGAATGTCAGGTCAAAGAGTGTATAACCTTCCACGTATTCATCATAACTGATGTCACATATTTGATCCTAAAACTGTTTTCCTGTTCTGTTGAATAAAGTTTTATAGCTTTGTGCGTACAATTCAGCATCAAAATCAAGTTGCAAAGGCCGAGCAGGAATCTATTTTCCATCCACCTTGATTTCCTCGAAATTGATGTAATAATGTTTGAAATTTATGGAACTTTCTTACAAAATCCATTAGATACATCATTATCAGCGCATCCTACAATAAGATGTGTGGGCACTTGACCCAAAAATGCATTATCTATAGAGGCAAGTAACTTTCTCTGTAGAATTGAAAATAACTTGCAATCTATATGTTTCAAAAGATATTTAGCTCTTCCTTTCTGAAACTCTCTATTATGCATCATAATTACGGATGGATATAAACCGTACAAAAGAACAACCTTGAATCCAGATTCATCATTGGACACAATACAAAATGCAATTTTACTTCCTACGATACGTGGTTTTAATTTTACTTAACGGCTGATTATGTCGACCTCTGACTACCACGTGCTTCTATGTATCGATTTTGATTCCATCACTCTCGCCATCATTATCTTATAGATCGTTAAAACTATACAAAGTGTCCTTTACCCACATAGAAGAAGTCACATGATTTTTATTAACTTCTTCACTATAACTCAGTAAAGTTTCTATGTAGGTTTTATACGCGTGAGACAAAGAGATGAGCTTGCCATTCCACTGTACATCCACTCGAGTAAATATAGAATGAAGAGACTGGTAGGAGCAGAGATATCTGTTTCCTTTTTTATACTTGGTTAC